TTAATTTGATGTAGTCTCATTTGTTTATTCTTTCCTTTATTTCCCTTGCCCTAGGAGATATATATATCAGCAAAAATATTGCCACGTGGGATATCTAAAATTGGTGAATTTTTGTGCAACCATTTCAATATTGAAGATGGAAGAAGATATTCAACATTTTTTGGTGTATTATGCTTTCTTATTGCAAGAAAAGGTAAAAAGCAGAAAAAAATTGTACAGTGTATGGAGAAAGTGCTGTGACTGATTGAATTTGTCAAAAGTGGTTTGTGACATTTCTTGGTTTTGACATTTTGGCCAAATAATTCTTTGCTGTGGGGCTGTGTTATACATTGGAAGATGTTTAGCAGCAGCTCTGAATTCTACCCACTAGAGAGGCCAATAGCAGGAGATAGCCGACACAACTCAAAATATCCAAATCGATAACGTTATTGGTAAAAATGAAAAATGTGTCTTATTTTACAGAAAAAACTAAAAGGACTTTTTGGCCAACTCAATACTTCTGTGAGCTATTGAAAAATTTTAAAAATAAAACATTAAATTATATTTTAAAATAGTTTCAAAATGACTGGTTTTAGTTTTACATGCTTACAGGACAGGCTATAGAATGTGAGTTCAACTTCTTATACAGTAGGTGACAGAGCAAGGGTGTCAGACTCATTTTCACCAGGGCCACGTCAGCCTTGTGGTTGCCTTCAAAGGGCCGAAATAATTTTAGGACTGTGTAAATGTAACTGCTCCTTAACTAGGGGCAAAGGGCTCTACATTCGGCCCTTTAAAGGCAACCGTGAGGCTGATATGGTCCCCGGTGAAAATGAGTTTGACACCCCTAGATTTTTAGTGCAGACGCCTTGGTTTTACAGCCAGGCCTCCCGCACCAGACTGATTCTTAAGCATGAAGTTCATGTTAAAGTTTCCGTGTTGGACAACTGGGGGTCCTGTTGGGATGTTCAAGTGGGATAATGTATGTGAAGTCACATTGACAATGATAATGCAATACTGAAGCATAATGAATGTTAATGTTCATTTCTATGGTAATAATGGTTGTAAAAGAAATTAAATATTAACTTTTAGAAACTACACAATTTCTAATGCCCCAAAATTGTTCCTTTTAAATTCATTTGTTTCTCAAGGCGTTATTATTTTTTTAGTTAAGTCAGGATTGAATGCCTTCTCAACTGAACTTAAAGAGCTCACATGCAATATTTTGAGCTATGTTTAAATGAATATGAGAGAGAAGACTGGACTGTTAAAAATATCTGAGTTTTATTGTACAGTTGAATGAAGGATGCAGCGCTGTTGTACCGGTATTCTTAAAAATTTCTCACTTCTGTGAATTTCCCTAATTTTGAAATTTTCTTTCATTACATTGAACAACTCCCATTTTCATCATGAAAATCTGATCTGAAAGTTAATTTACAGAAATGTTGCAAGTGAATTTAAAGTTAAACAGGAATATGTGTATACTAATGTGATACAATATTGTTCATTCACATTTTTCCATATTAAAGACAACTCTGAACTATCTTTTAAATAAATGAGACAGAAATCCATTGTAGTTGTGTCTGAGTATGTTATTTGTGTAACAAACAAATATTTCTAGAAACTCTTCTCTCCCTTAGCCATTTTTTATGTTGCCTTCTTTGACCCAGTTCTTGCAACATGATTTCATAGCCACACCTTCTTAGTTGAAATCCCAATTCTGCCACCTACCGTCTAATGGTTTAAGCCTCAGTTTCCTCATCTTTAAAATGGGGTTAAGAGTAGTGCCTACCTCATTCAACATAATATCTGCCAACCATTACTAAATGCTTAAGTCATGACGCACACCTTACAAATGTAGAATTTGAATATCTAGTAGTTAATCACAACAAAATCATACAATTAATAAAAGGTAGAATCGGGATTTGCTCCTGGATTTATCTGACATCAAAAGAAAAAGGTTTGGGGTTTTGCTTTCTCTTTGGAAAGCTATTACTGGTTTCATATGTTTGTTTAGTATGGCTCTGTCAGTTTCTAGGAGCCTTGGTCTATATGTTAAATTTTAGCACAGGATATTGCTAAATAGGGGTAGGACATCATTAGAGGTTCTTGTATGCATTAGAATTTTTAGTGATGCATAAAATTGAGCCAGAGACAAAGGAGTGCTCAGTTCCAAACACGGGTGACCTCTGAACCCATCACGCTTCACTCTGGCTCGTACCACTTCGCTCTATGGAGTCACTATTTTTTTTTTCTTTAAGTCAAAAGAAAAGTTATTGCTAAAAGAAGGGTGAGGTGATCAGAATAATGCACTTTTAATAAAGATTATGCATGTTAATTGCATGCATGGGTAGTGCCCAAACTTTATGGAAAAAGAACGGATACCAAAATAAGGTGGTTTCAGTCTTTAAGATTTCTTTGCTTAAAATAACATACTCAACATGAATTCTAACATCCATTGAAAGTCCATTTCTAGGGTGGCTGTCCCTATTTATTAAAAAATTAAAAATCAACAATTATTTTCTGCCTTTTTGATCTTATGTCCGATGATGTGATGTGGTAGGTGCTAGAGGTACATACATGTGTTTTTCAAGACCACAACAAAAGTGTCGATGAGTCTTTGTTGCTCTCGCCTCTCCTCTATCCCACCCTCGTCTCTGCCAGATTAATTCCTACTTATCCTTGGTTCCAGCTCACATGCTGCTTCTCAGAAAGGCCCTTCAGTGTAGCCTTCTCGCCCCGTCTACCTCAGGCTCTCCCTTCATCCTCTTTCCTTAAGCCCTGTTATTTTCTTCTTCATAAGTATTCTAATTTTATCATATAATTCGTCAGATGTTTGTCTCTCCCATAGGACTATTTTCATTTATCCTTTCCCCGTCCATTCATTCAAAGGGTATTTATTGCACACCTACTAAGAGTGCACTCTTGGGTGTGCATCTTAAGTGAAGATACAGTGGTGAACAAGGAGAAGTCTTGTAATCAAAGATTACATTCTTTGGGGAAGAATTTACATTCTTTGGGGAAGATGGACAAAACTAAAGACAATTCAAAAGCTTTCAGTGTTATCAGAAAACCAAATTAGGATAAGAGGATAAGTAGCAACAGGGCAAAGGAGTGGAGGCTCTTGGGGACATTTGTGTAGGGCAATGGGAGAGAACTGCTCTCAGGTGGAGGGTGAGCCAAAGCCTAAGTAATGTAAAGGGGTGTAGCTTGGGCATACAGGGCAAGGGGTTCAAAGGAGAGGGAACAGAAAGTGGAACTGCTTTGAGAATGGAATAAATTTGACTTATTGGAGGAACTGCAAGAAGCATGGCTGGAATCAGGTGAGCACAGGATGGGGTGGGGGGTGCTGCTGGAGAGGTCAGAGCAGGTAAACAGGACTTTGTTCTTCATGTGATATAAAGTCCTTAAAGCATGTGAATGGGAGAAATAGTATTCACTTTAAAATAAAGTAAATAAACAATCCAGTTTCTTCATGGAAAACAAATCCTAAGAGCCAGACATCAAGGAGACCAGTTAGGAGGCTATTATTGCCATACTCTAGGCAAGAAATGCTTGTGATTTGGATTTGGCTAGTAGCCACAGGAGTGGGGAGGAGTGGTCAGTTAAGATATATTTTAGATGTAGAGTGAAAAAGACTTGTGAAGAATTGGGCATGGGATTGAAATGGAAAGAAAAGAGTTGAGCTCGATTGCTAGGTTTTAGGTAAATAAAAGCTCTTAAAAAGCGGGTAAATAGTGCCTTTAATGGAGATGGGAAGGAGAGAGATCTGTGTGGTAGTGATGCAGTTCTGTTTCCAACATGTTAAGTTTGAGATGTTTACTTCTATTTTACATCTAGTGGAGAGGTTGAGTAGGCAGGTGGATATACACACACGCATGCTTTTCTCTGCTCCTAGCCCTGTCCCTCCCTTGAGAAAGTAAAAATAAAACCTTTACTCTCTGTACTTTCTTCTCTTTGTGATTCTTTCACAGCCCACATCACTGACAACTCTAACAAAACCCATACCAGCACAGGAAGCAAAAAGTCTTGATGGGAAGATAAGAGGATAATTGTGAAGTGTGTTATCACATCGCACATTTTCTTAAATTTACCTTAAGCCGCACTCCTCTGAAACTTTGCTGAGGTAGTTCTCATACTTCTTGGACTGTACACTTTTGTGCCCCCTCACAACTCACTTCCTTCCAACAAGAACAGCAGCAGCAGCAAAGAAATAAAAAAAGAAAGTAAAAGAAAAATCTTTATCATCCTTTAAATGGCCCAGTTAAAACATGGCATTCATCAACCCGTGTTCCTATATTTTTCATTCTTCTCACGGCTCTATGTCACAGTGTATTAGTTATTTGTCTCCGTGAAGCCATTTGCTTTGAACTTCAAGATTTTGGAAACTATGTTGTTTAACGCTCGGCGCGGGAGGGGGGAAGTGGCATTTAGCAGGCCCTCAATAAGTGTCACCAGAGCGAAGGGGTAATGTGGGGAAGGCACAGAAACAGAAGACGCAAGACTTTATCTGGACAAGTTTATGGGGACAATAATAGCATATTTAACAGTGACAAAGTACTCAATAAAGAGGTGAAAATAAAATCATGGCTCCACGCCTACTTCTTACTACAATCTTCCCATTCACTGGTCGGCCTCTCTGATCCCTTTCCCTCTTTGAACCAGAGCTCAAACCGCTGGGTCTCATTGGCCTATAAGAGTGCACTCTTCGGCAATCGCGAGGACCGCTGCAGCCAATGAGAGACCTGGGTTATTTGGTGGGGTGAGCCGAGTCGCTTCCTGTAGAGATACGAGAGGCCTGGTGACGTTTACACTGAGCTGAATCTTGATTGGCAGGTGGTTAGCCTCCCTAGAGCGGAAACACTGCCTGCTGCGAGTGCTGGAGGGTTATGGGCGTGGCAGTAAACCTGGAGTTAGCCAATGACTGACGCACTACGCGCGGAGGAAACAATAGATCACCAATGGTGGCACGCATGTGGTTTTGTGGGCGGGTTTTAAGCAAAATAAGATCGGGGCGGCGCCTATGGGTTGTCCTCACCGTCACAGCCGGAGCGTCTTCTAGGATTCATTCATTAGTTTTTTTCTCATTCACGAGGATAGTGAGGCCTGGTTGAAAGCCATGGACAGCGCTCTCTCTGCCGCCGGTTTCCTGTACTGGGTGGGCGCGAGCACTGTGGCCTACCTGGCCCTGCGCATCGCGTACTCGCTTTTCACGGCCCTTCAGATCTGGGGTTTGGGTCACGAGCCTGGGGTCGGACCGGGGCTCGGTGAATGGGCAGGTGAGTCAGACCAGCGCCGCTAGCTCCCTCGCTCCTGCTGCGGCTCGCGCGGCTCGCGGCCTTGCCTGGTCCGCGCTGACAAGTTCAGGGCCCAGCCTCGGCCTTCCCCAGCTTCCCTCTTCACCTTCGTGAAACTCCTGCTTTTCACGTATCCGTCCGGCCCCTGAGCCATCGGCGGCAAGCCTAGACTTGTAGAGTTTTGAAGGGCTAAAAACATTCCTGGCGTAACGCAGGGACTCTAAAGTGTCGCTTGGTAGGTGAGGAAGAAATCTGAACTTCGGACTTTTGTCATTTAAGTCATTCCCGGTTCATGGCCCAGAGTCAGTCTCCTTGCCGTCTTTTCAGTTACTCTCTACCCACCTTGGTTCACCCCTTCTGAGTGTTTTAAAGATAAAGTTTTTCGTTGGATTTGAACATTGGCCCCAGTATTAAGGATGCAGAAGGATTCTGTTGACTTTGCGGGGTTGAGGGCTTGGAGGAAGAGGACATAGAATTTACGAAGTCTTTCTGCACTTTGCAACGAACCACTTACTCGGATTTGGCCAATTTCATGTAATTTACATTTTAAAAAATCCTCGCTAAAATTGTTCTGGAGTCTAAAAAGTAGTAAGATGTATTGCTTCTGCAAAACGTTAACTCTTTCTTAGAAATCAGAAATACTTTTTGCAGATAGACACTTGGAGGGAGAAGTATTCCCACAAAAAGTGAGCTAAACAATTCTATCCAGGCGGAGGATTTTAAAAATGGAAGAGAAAAGTCGGATTGGAGAAGTTGAAAAAATTACCTGCGAGCAAGTTTCGCGCTTGCTTTTTTCTTTCCTTTCCTTTAGATTTTATTTATTTATTTATTTGTTTAGCCAGGTGGATATGCTGTGGTCGTTCTCTGGTGTGATTATTTATTCTGCCATTTTATAATTGAATGTTCACTTAAGGCTTTTATTTTCTTTCCCCCCTGAGTTCTGAGGTGTTTAGGATATTTTTCAGACTAGGCTCGAGTAAGGTGCACAAATAATGTTACTCCATATTCTTTATTTATTCAAAAACATTTAAATAGACTTTTGGGGCAGCGCAATAATGAAAACATCTCAAGTAGGAAAGGATATGTAAGTAGAGCTCTGTCCACTATGTGAAGCAGCAATTAAAATTCTAGTACTCATTTAAAAAAATCACTTGCTATTTTTTTAATAGTCTTTGAAAAAGCAGTGAAGTGCTCAACTTCATTTAATCAGTATTATAATTTCACAATTGGCTTGCTCAAGTTACAGGTTGTAAGGTTTGGGGAATCTGATTGTGGACTTTTGGAATAGTTATACCAGACTCCAGTGTTTCAGCAATCAGATAAAGTTTTGTAATTTGTAAACATAGACTAATGTTAGTAGCTTTTTAAAAATATCTAAAATTGATTGGTTAATAACTCAAATGGACTAATTAAGTCATCTATATCAGTCCATAGTAGAAGTCAAGAGATGCATCATTGTCATTTCATAAGTAATATTTGTATTGAAATTATTTGGTCCCAGAGGAAGGATTTTTGACAGATTAAGGGAAATGTTTAAAAGATTTAGAAGTAAAATTTGAACTAGAACACTGGAATATAGCAGAGAGGATCAGAGCATCAAAAAGTGAAATATTGTTGAGTTTAGTTTACCCTGGATGGTTGGAAAAGTCTCTGTTTTTTGAGTGCTTAAGCAGAAGAAATGATCAAGTTATTTGTAACATTACTTACATGTGGTGGCCCAAATCTTAAAATACTTCCTCTATCTGTCCAAATTCACGGACTCTGGGAAACAAAGTATGTTAAGGCTAGTTCATGTCAAACAGGTTCTTTGTATCTGTTGGAAGGGTGAACTTAATTTGGAAAAACACACCAGCAGAGATGACACTTGAATAAACAGGGTTAAATTGTAATTAAAGATAGGTAGATACTTTGTTCAACCAAAATTAGGAGTTTAGAATTAATTTTTATTTTATTTTTTAAACATTTTTCTTTTTAAAAAAGATTTTATTTATTTACTTTTAGAAAGAGGGAAAGGGAGGGAGAAAGAAAGGGAGAGAAACATCAGTGTGTGAGAGATACATGGATCAGTTGCCTCATGCACGCCCCCAGCTGAGGACCTGACCGCAATCTAGGCATGTACCCCGACCAGGAATCGAACCTGTGACCTTTTGGTTCTCAGGCTGGTGCTTAATTCCATGTGCCACACCAGCCAGGGCCTAATTTTTATATATAAAGAGTCTTAGTAAGTTTTCTTCCCTATAGAATTGCTTACTGAGACCTGTGCACCTTTCTTTGAGTAAAAGCAAGTAGCAGGCAGTATTAGGGAGGCGATGCCTACTTTCTAGTACTAATGTCCATTTAACATTTTCCTCTCCATAACCAATGAAATATTTTAAGTATTACCTAGTAATATGTGTTGATTTGATAGTATATTTTTTTATTTTTGTTATTCTTAAGTCCCTTCATGTGACTATGTTTAATTTATCTTCGGATTTTTGGAATGAGAGGCAGAGGCTGTAGGTCCACATTTTTTTTTGTCTTTTCCCACAGTAACTGGCACGTTAATCAGATATAAGCTCTTCTAAACTTAAAAACAAACACTTGTGGAAACCCTGAAATACAGGTTTGACTTGCAATCAGTAAAATATTCCAGACTACAGATTCTTTAGTCAGGCTTTTAAGATCATCATCCATTACGTGGCCCATACTCTTAATGTATCTTCTTCATCTCCTAATCAAAAGGGTGATCATGTCTTTTCCAGTTTGCTCCAGTAACATTCCCACTCAGATGAATAACGCTGATTTCATTAGGTCCCTAGCAGACGGGGTTAGCCAACTTAGTAAGGAAGACTCTTGCCTGTCATTGTGATGCCATTCTTCCTGTATTTCTTAGAACAAAGAGACCCTGTGAAAGTAGAGCTTCAGGTATTTGCAAGTCACTGTAGCAGGTACTCCACAGCAGGTGGCTAATGAAGGTGGTCCATTTGTACTATATAGAGACCGGTCATTGCTGTGGGGTGATAAAGAATGTAACCTGCAGGATTTAGTTTGAGCATATATCACTTTTGCATCTATGTATCCTTGCATAAATATTTTTGCAATCACTGGAGTTCATCTATAATGATTGATTACTGAAATAAAGTGGAGGTGATAGGTGCACAGGCAAGGTAAGCATACTTCCAAAGTCCAGGTATTTTATGGCTTTAAACCCAAGACAGCACTCTGAGCTCTTCTTTTTCGTTTTTAACAGAGAGGACAGTTCTACAGGCAGGAAAGATGAAGGCTCCACTAATCAGTGAATGAGTTAGATTTTTAAGATAGCTTTATTGAGGTAGAATTCACATACATACCATACACTTTATCCATTTAAAGTGTGCATTGCTGTTCAAGATTTCGTCATATTCACAGGGTTGTGCAATCTTCATTACAATTTAATTTTGGAACATTTTCCTCCTCCTTAAAAGAAACCCTGTACATATTAGCTGTCTCTCCCTGACCCCAATACCTTTAGGTTCTAGTCAATCACTAATTTACTTTCTATATACATTTGCCTATTCTGGATAGTTGATATAAATGGAATCATACAATATTTGCCCTTTTGCGACTGGTTCTTTTTCAAGGTTCATCCATATTGTGGCAGGTTCCAGTGCTCCATTTATTTTTTTTGTTGCTGAATAATGTTCCATTCTCTGGAGGGAGTTTAGATTTTGCAAAGGGCCTTCACTTGTGCATTTTGTCCTCTGTCCATCCGCATTAGCAGATCCCCAAGATTTCGCAGCTCTGACGCTGATGGAACTCATTTACTCCTGTAGTATTCCCAGGTGCTCCCAATTCAGGGACACTGGGGACCTAGAAGGAGCGTGGGCTAATGCAGTTCTCCTGTAAGACAGCCATTCATCAAAACTGGCTGTGCTTAGCCAAGCTCAAAAAATTGAAGAATTCTTAAAATCATATGTGCTGTGTAATTTCTCTTTTTATATTGGGTAACTGCACAGGACTGTTACCTCAATTGTGCGACGGCTACTCGAGTAACCAGGGGCAGTGGGTGGTAGGTTCCTTTCTTGAACTAGGCCTTGAGCTATCACATGATTTGAGGAGTTATATATGAAATGTTAATAACTTAAATTAGCACAATGAGAAGAAGTATTAGTAACTACCATTTATTGGATGCTTGAAGTGTCCTAGGCATTTGATGCAGATTCTTTAAACATTTTTATTAAGTTTATTGGAATAACCGGTCAATACGAGTTAAAATAAGTTTTAAGTGTACCACTGTGTTCTGTGATATATCATCTCTGTATTGCTTGTGTGTTCACCACCCAAAGTCAAGTCTCCTTTTGTTACCACGTATTCGATTCCCTTTCCCCTCCTTTACCTTACCCCTTCTGGTAACCACCATGCTGCCGTCTGTGTCTGTGAAGTTTTGTTTTATTTGTCTTGTTTGTGCATTTGTTGCTTTGCGTTTTATATCCCACGTATGAGTGAAATCGTATAGGTCTTGACTTTTTCCATCTGACTTATTGCACTTAGGATGATATCCTCAAGATCCATCCACGTTGTCGCAATGGCAGTATTTCATCATGTCTTGTGGCTGAGTAGTATTCCATCGTGTGTATGTGCCACTGTCTTTCTTTACCCAGTCGTCTATCAGAGAACACTGGTTGTTTCCATATTTTGGCCACCGTGAGTAATGCTGCAAAGAACATAGGAGTACATACATCTTTGTGACTAAGTGTTTTCAAAATTTTCAGGTAGATACCCAGAAGAGGGGTTGCTAGCTCATATGGTAACTCTATTTTTCATTTTTTGAGAAACATTCATACTGTTTTCCGTAGTGACTGTACCAATTTACATTCCCAACAGTAGTATATAAGGATTCCATTTTCTCCACAAACTTTCCAACACTTCTTATTTCTTGTCTTCTTGGTAATAGCCATTCTGACAGGTTTGAGGTGGTATCTCATTGTGGTTTTCATTTGCATTTTCCTACTGACTAGTGAAGT